TCATATGTTTGGCACCTTTTATATCCTGCGAGTCAGTGGAGGCTTGCGAGCGGACCTCCCAATAGTCAGTATCAATGGATTGTATCATATCTTTAGTAAAGTTCGGACACTTCCTCTGGAAGTGGTGTTTATTTCGGGTTATATTTAGCGAAAGTTTTTCACCGCATAACCGACACGTCCTGTCCTTTCCCTCAAACACTATATATTTACGGAATTCACTCTTAATGTTAGGCATTCCCGCAAAAAATCAACAAAATTACCACTAAATTAACCTAGTTACAAAATATATGAAAATATTTGTTACTGTTATCATACAATTTTGAGTCAATTTAGTTTGCGATGCACTCATAGGTAGCGCAAAATGCATCATTACGTGAAATGTTACTCAAAATTACCGTAAATTACGTTTTCATACAAATCTACAAACACAACACCCTATGAGAGACTACAGTCAAGGAGTCATCAACTTTTCAATATAATTACAAAGTTTTTAGAAAATTGGGAATAAAATAGCATTAAATGCGAAAAAATAATTTGATTTTTAGCATACATTACACAATCGTTTTCGTGGGCTTAACGGCACATTTGGTGCTTATTTTGTTTGACTCGGTTTTGACCCAAATTTGAGTTCAAGTTTCAAGACTCGGGAGACACAACACAATAACCCCAAACATAATGACCTCATCTCAAGAGGCAATACATTCCTAGCGATGGATGAGTTGTGTGTATCTCAGGTTTTGGGCAAAAATAACAAATTAATGAAAATAATGTTCGCATTTCGGCGTTAATTGAGTACAAAAACACATATTCAAGACATTCAAGTGTTTACTAAAATTAGTTTCGTTTGAATGCATATTGAATCCTTAATAATGTTCATTTCAATTATCAATTAAAATTCATTCCCTAATTATGTCTATTGTATTAATAAAACTATTTAAAAACTTTTGATAAAAAGTTAAGATATTAATAAATGTATAAATTAACTATAAATATGAGTTAACATTAATTTAAAATTATTAATGATTTCATTCGCAGGGAAAACAATTCATGTTGTGATCACAATCTATTAAACTTGAGATAAGATTTCAGTTTTAAATGCTAGAAAATTAATCAAATGAATTGATTCATAAAAAGTTGAAATCAATTATAAAAGTAATATCGGGTTATTTATAACACAAAAAACAATTAAAATCATTCTTATTATCAAATTATTTTAAGACTTAATTGAATGAAATTGAGTTCAAAGCAATGCATACCGTTATAGAGATTATAATCAGACAATGAGTTGGATTTAATCATTGTTTGACTTCTTTGCTGCACTTGTGGTGCCATTTCGATGGGCGAGGAATTGGGCGAAGAGTTCTGGTTATGTATGGCGTAAGAAGAGCTGCCATTACTTCCATTAGCGCCGGCTATTGCCGCCACTTCTGGTGTGATCTGTTGTGGTTGTGATGCAATGGATTGTGATGTTTGGTACGCCTGTTGTTGTTGCGGTGCGTGTGCCGGCACTACCGGCGCTATTTGTGACTCTTGTGGTAAGATTTGTTGGTTTATCTCATCGTTGTCTTCGCAATCACTTCCCGGCCACTGAAGATCAAAGCCTTCTCTCTCGGCTCTCACGACCTCCTCGGGAGAGACCCTTTGGGTGGAAAACAATGGTTAAAATCAATGTAAACAAAGCAAATGTTAAGAGCAAACCTAATGTTATCCAGGTATTCGAGGTTTGGAAGCGCTTTAAGTACTGTTGATCTATAGTTGTCGAACTCAGAGCACGGATTCTCAGCCAACCATAACTTCTTGAGTTCTTGCAAATCGATTAAGTAAAGCAATTCATTGATGTCTTGGATCTTATTTTGCCGCAAATACAGCTCTTGGAGGTGTCCGCAGGCGGCGAAGTCGGACAGGGATGTGATGTGATTGATGGACAGCGACAGTACCTCCACATTGGGAAGTCGTCTCACTATCGAGACATCCCTTAACTCGCTTCCCCTGTCATTGCAATAAATCATTAGCTAATTGAACCAAATATACAAATAACTCAACAATTCCTATACATTCGTGAGATAATCAATTCGTTACTCAAATCAAGATATAATACCATAAAAATGCATTTAAAACCAATTATTGATTAAGTAGTAAATTATATCCTATGGTTTATCCACAGATAAATACAGTACTGTCAAAGACATTAAATTCAACCCTATTTCGCAGACTTTGTAAACACTATTAACACTAATTATTAAATAAATATTAAAATAAAGAAATAAATCGCTTATTAATAGAATAAAATTAACTCTAAAAATGCAAACTATTTACCAAAAGAGGTTAAAAACCGGATTTTAATGTTTGATTGATAGCCGTATTCATGTTGTATAACGTTATAAATATACTGATTATAATAAAAAGAAATAAAACTCCTTTGAGTGCAAAATATTATTACAATACTCTATAACTCATTATAATTGCATTAAGGATTAAAGGATTAAAAGGTTTATTGGATATAATTGTTAACATCTGAAACATTCAATTATTTGTTATCACTTTATATTAATAGATACAGACGTCTAGAAAATGTCATAACACTCACGACATTAACGATAAAATAAATCATATTAAATATTCATATCTAATTCACTGTAAACGTGAATAACATTTGCTTTTGTATTACCGGTATATGATATGATTTGATAAGTTTTTTGATTAAAACTTCTATTGTATTGAATGAGACATTTAAATACCAGGAAATATACGAAACAAAAAGTGTTTCATTATATGCACTGAAATGCATAATAATTTGAATATATAATACATTAACTATTAATAATAATCATTAATGACATCATTATGCGCTATATTTTGATCAAATTTTGCAATAATTTTTTGGAAAAAATAAACATAATATCAAAAAACACATCAATATTATCGATCCACATAATCATCAAATTGATGGCAATTTTATGATACAAATCATGGATTCAATGAATATCTAAGCAAATGCTCACAAATCAAAAATTTATAGATAAATGCAATACATTACCAACAATTTAATCGCTTAACAGATCTCAGGTCTTGAGATCGAGTACGGCTTAAGACCACGTTTTCGGTCAACACAGACATCACCACTCAATCGATAACTTCTTTGAGATAATTATTATAATAATAATTAAAACTATATATTAATTCGTAATTCAATTGTGACTCAAAAGTCCGCAAAAAAGACAATAAAAGTAATCATAAAATAAATCTCAAACGGAAAAAAAACACTTATGAAACAAATGATTAGACTTTGAAACAGGTGCCAAAAAATAAGTAATAAAAATAATATTCAATAAATAAATACTAAATCACATAAAAAATTCATATAATTGTCACTAAGACTCGACAAAAACGATTTGTAATTCAAAGTAAAATATTAAATATATTTTCGTATGAATTGTATCACAAATGAATTGCAATTAGATTTCGTGCGGCACTCCACACGTGTCCACAAAACTGATTTTGATGTCAATAATGATTAAAACAGATTTGAATCACATTTGAGTGGCAAATGAGTGAACAATTTGGTGTCAATCTTGTCGTCCAAAACAAAACACTTTTTTGAGTCAAATCTTGAGTTGCATTGAAGGCTTCGGTGATGTAATGATCGGTGGATTCAAAACCATATTTGGCTATGGATTAAGTGATGAAAGCCTTGAATTAATTAGCGTTTTCACAGTTATATTGATAATAATCACTGGTTTTACAGTTGTTTTACTCAATGAAAGCACAAACAAATCAAATTGAAAAGAGTAGTGAAATACTGATGAATGCCATAACACTCACACACTGGCAGTGAATGCAATGCTTTGCGAAAACTGTGTTTACGTTTGGAGTCTAACGTTGAGGTCACCCATCGATGTGTAGGTCTTATGACGAGTGCATCCATACCTTGTCGTACAACATAGCCATACCTGCATACCTGTCCCCTATTGCCATACACTGGCAGCCAGACACTCAATTCACACACACAATCATATCAACTATGAATATAATGGGATTCAATTTAATTGCATTTTCAATGCTATTTATAGGCAAATGATTTGATTTTGACGATTGAAATAAAGTTCACAAAATATTTTCAAATTCAATGTTTTCTGTCAATTGAAAACACACTGCAATTCATAAATGATGTTTCAATGCAAGTTTGACAGCAAAAGTTACCGGTTTATTGGAGTTCATTCATAAATGTCGTTATGTAATGAACGGTTGGGTGGGTCATGAATTTTTAAAGGGTCACCAAATGCTAGACTTTTATTATTATAACTTATTATAAAGTTTAATATATTTTTAATATAATGGCTAGTATTTTAATTAAATATAAAACAAATATGAATACAAGTTTTATTTAGTTTTAATTTCAAGGGTATGGATTTTTAAGGCACAGTTAATTTGATATAGTAATTGTGATACTAAATAACATAAATTGTTAGATACAGTATATTTCCAAACATGTTTTTGTCCAAACAATAAAAGAGTTTTTACTAAATTTATTATTGAACATTTAATAAAATAAATAAATTGGAAATTGCATTCAAAAAATTCAATGATTTCAGTAATCATCAGGGCATCTATTGGTTAATCCTTTTATGAAAAACTAAAAGAAATTCATTTCTAATGAGCCTTAAAATTGTTAATTTTTATAATTATTATTATGAAAATAGCCACCTAAAAAGTAACTGATAATTATTCTTGTCATATCTAATTCTGAATTTATTAATACATATTGTGTTTACAGTATAAATGTGATTCTTATGACGGAATATAAATTTTATAAAATGAATAAATTCAGCTGCATATTTAATCAAAAAATATCAATTACAGTGAACTTCGTGAATAACAATTGTTCACTTTAATTCAATTCAATTCAATTCCTGAATCATATCAATCATAAATTATAATTCATAATAATATTTCTGAACCCATAGAAAATGCACTCATATTCTGTATGCAAACCATTTGCTTCTTATTAATAGCGATAAATAATGAATTATTATTCCATTAATTGCAAAATTTTAAATTATTGGTAACTATGAAAAATATATTTAAAAAATATGTTTAAACAATTTTTGTTTAGAAACAACTCACAAAAATAAAATCAAAAAATTTATTGATCATTCAAAAATAATTATTTTTAAATAATATTTAGTCAAAATTTTGCTACTTTTAATTACATTTAATGATAAATTACAATGAAACCAATTGAATATCCATTGTGACTAATTATTTACAATTAACCGAATATTTAAAATTTATTATAAATTTCATACAATATTCAAGTAAAATGAACTAGTTATTTCTAATTGATTCGAAGTTATTGATATGACATAACGCCCAATTGTACAGACTAATTATTTACAATTAACCGAATATTTAAAATTTATTATAAATTTCATACAATATTCAAGTAAAATGAACTAGTTATTTCTAATTGATTCGAAGTTATTGATATGACATAACGCCCAATTGTACGGATCATTAATTAATAAAATTGGATTAAATTCAAAAAAGTCATACAAATTACATGAAAGACTAGTTTTTTTGGTTCCGAAGCAATGGTTATAATAATTATACGACATAACAGACTATTTAAATGATTGTTGGATAGACTCATCGATTACAATTGGATATTCGTAACCAAAATAAACTTTTATTTTTTAATTCATGGCTTAAAACGTGTGCAGGGTTTTCATTGTCAATGACAGTCACTATTAGTTGAATCAATCGAAAATTTATTAGACTTTTATTCTTATTTAATTGTATATCTGATCAAATGAATGCTAATACTGTATCTCTATAAAACTTGTTTTCAGTTATAAACACTAAAAATAAATAAATAATAGAATTTCCTTGAATTTCAAATAATTTTTTTGCTATTTATAAGTGAAAAGAAATAACAAATCTAAATCAGTATACTGTATAATTACCTAATACCTGAATTTATAAATATATTCATATATATAACTATCGCGCTTTCATTGAAGATGTCATATCCGTAATATTAAGTTTCGCTTTCATTGATTGTAAAACAAGTTACAAATTAAGACAACTTTCGTCTCCTATATGCTTAGCCGTATATCGTATGACTTAATATTAAATATTGTAGTCAATAAATATCACACTTCAGGTAATTAATTGATTACTAACTAAAATGTTTAGTGCAAGTTTTGTTGAAGTGACAATTTTTTCTAGATTTTATTAATGTTAAAAATTTTTCCATAATTCATAGAACATACTACAGTACAGTACAGTACAGTATATTATACCACATTTTTTCGTTTTTTGTTTTTGTCCTTTCACTCGACTATAACAAGTGTATATAATCGCCACTATAATTGCTTTACCATTAAGTTATTCCAATTGTCGAGAAAATTTTTTAATTTGCTTGTCACTTGGTTTATGAGCAAATGATTGTCTTTTGATTTTAATTGAAAAAATCTTTTCACACATTTTCCTGGATTTAACTAACTTTTCACGACTCTTATTAGAAAAATGAATAATCTGTGGATATATACTGCGATCGCATTTGTTATAATCTCCATCGAGAGTAATGCCACAAATACATCGCTTAACGTAAGTATAACTTAATATCATTATAAAAATAATAAGTTAATAGAAAACTTAAAATTTAAAATGAATAACAATTTGAAAATCTGTGTAATGACAGGAGGTTGAGATGACAGGATTGTTAGGCCGTCCGGTGGGCCGTAAGACCAGTATGTTGACGGCCGGATACCACGGACCGGCACTATTGCAAGACTTTCAGTTCCTGGAAGAGATGGCACACTTCGATAGGGAACGCATACCCGAGCGGGTGGTTCACGCCAAAGGGAGCGGTGCTTTCGGTGTGTTTCGGGTGACGAACCCCGATATGAGGCGCTACACGAAAATGGNTGTTGACGGCCGGATACCACGGACCGGCACTATTGCAAGACTTTCAGTTCCTGGAAGAGATGGCACACTTCGATAGGGAACGCATACCCGAGCGGGTGGTTCACGCCAAAGGGAGCGGTGCTTTCGGTGTATTTCGGGTGACGAACCCCGATATGAGGCGCTACACGAAAATGGCACTCTTTGACAGACCCGGCAAAGAGACCGAAGTAGGCGTCAGGTTCTCGACGGTGGCCGGAGAACAGGGTTCGGCCGACACTGCGTTCGGTGACCCGCGAGGGTTTGCCGTCAAGTTCTACACCGAAGAGGGAAACTGGGATTTAGTCGGGAATAACGTCCCCATGTTTTTCATCCGAGACTCGCAACAGTTTCCGTCCGTAATTCACGCCAATAAACGCAATCCTATGACTGGTGTGAA